AATTCTGGGAGATGAAGTCCACACATCTTAAAGTTGCCAAGGTTGAGAAACACTGGTTTATATATCAAAACAACAACAACAACAACAACAACCCTTTTCATACATTTAAAGCAATATAGGCAATATTCATATATTTACCATTAGGATGAAAATCTACTGCATTTTTGTTATTGTTTTTAGTATGAAAAATGATTCCATTCTTGATATCGAAATGCTTTCATTCTTGTCACATGCAACTGCAATGTGACATTAAAAGCTTTGTACAGCCAGCTTTGATAATAAATTGAATATTACTTTCAAAGATGTCTAGAAGACATCCTGTAGAATTTTAAAACGGCTGCACTGCAGTCCCAAAATATGAAAAAGGCAAAAGATGTAGAAGTGGCTGAGTTATGGTTTAATGGCCTTGAGTCCAACAATTGCAGTGACACTGTAACACAGACTTTCCCAACTTGAGGGACTTTCTCAACAACCTTCATCAAAAAGAAAAGATTGGAGAGAGGGCAGCAGTCCGGAATACCTCTGGATCCAAGTATGGCCTCTTCAAGACTCTGGGTTCAACTCCTCCCATAATGAGCCATTTACAGAAGTCAGAGAATGGCTGCTAGGGAGCAATCTCATCAAGGGCCTGAGACGACACTTCTTACTAGTAGACCAGGCCCTCAACTGCTTTTTCCACAAGATCATTGGGGGAGGGGAGAGCCCAAGCACCCACCAGAAACCAGCTGGAACCATAAGATATCTAGAGTGGACCATTCAAATGAGTCCAGTCCTGCGGAGGAAATGAGCAGCAATCAGTTACATCTGGACTAGGAAGTGATATGACCATGAGAAAGGACAGATGGTAATACCCTCCAAATCCAGATCATGCAGCAATTGCTCAGAAATGAACACAAAGTATAACTTGTAACCACTAACATGTGTTGGAGCCATGATAATCTGGGACAAGCCCATGTCTTTCATGGAGGCCATGAAGTCCTGAACCCTGCTGAATCTGAGTTCTGTTAACCTGGAGGTTGAAGTCTCCCAGTACTAACTCTACCATCAGGCTGGCAATCAGGCCAGGAACTCAGGGAGGGTTCCTAAGAAGTAGTACGGCAGCAAGAACAACAAAAGGGCCTCTAGCTTTTCCTTACAGCCCAAATGAACACATAGACATTCACACCCAGTCACCTCCAGAACAGTCACTCTGGCCACAGATCGGGGCCATCCCTCCTTCTCAGCTCTGGTGTCAAGGCTGGTGTAGGAAACTAAACCTGGCTGGGCAAATTTCCAAAAGGGCAACATCTAAGCACTCCCTCAGGTTTCAATAATACACACCAAATTGGTCCACTTGTCCACCACCAAGTCATAGAGGGACATGGTCTTATTACAGACAGACCTGGCATTGACCAGCTCCAACTTAAAGCCCAACGATCCAGCACATATCCCAGATGCAGGTGTCACAGGAGTCCACCCTGGCCAAAACCTTATCTCCCAGATCCTCCAGACATCAGGCTCTTGAAAACAATACATCCAAGGCCGCTTGGCCAATTAATTAATCCAGCCCAGCATCTCTTGCATCCACTGGCACAGAGTGAGCCAGCCAGTGGAAGAGGTTCAGGATCCACAGTCCTAGCCTCAATCCCTTCCACCAGAATGATCCATCCAGAGTTATCCATCCATAAGAGTGAAGACCTCTCAGCCAGAGGGGAAATTATCTACCTGGAACAGTGGACCAGTCCAAAAATAATAATAATAAAAAAATGAAAAACCTGAACCAGATACAGTTCTTCAGGGGTAGTAATAGAAATCCTGGGGAAGCAGTCACAGCCATTCCCCTCCCTCCCATGTCACAGCAAAGTCCATGGAGATGACTAATAATGAAATGAACTTGACAATGATGAATATTGTCAGCCCACACTGTGCTCCATCCAACTAGCCAGCAGAATGGAGAATGGTGGCCACTCTTTGATGAAGTGCCAGTGTCCAGAAACAGGTTACACTCAGCATCAGCCTCAGTGCCCCAAGAGCTCCACTCAGTCCTGTAACTTGGAAAGCAGCCTGCCTTAGATGCTGGGCCAATTATAGTGGTAGTTACAGGCCACAAAAAAAGCCTCTAAGCTCAGAGGGAGAAGTCCAGATTATTTTTGGTAGCAGTGTCACAAACCCTGCAGCCTCCCCGTGACCTCCAGCAATGATGCTACCTGATCTCCAACATGGTAGAGCCTGCAGTCACAAGCAATGGTGCAACCTAAAAGCCTCCCATGGGAAATGGCGAAGTTCTACTGCGGCAACCAAACATTGTCCCAAGAACCTCCCAGCAGTTTGGAACCAGTACCCTAGTAAAACACCAGCTAACAAAACACAACCTCCCAAACAACCCAGCCAAAACAATAAAAAAATCATCCAGAATCCAACATAACCTAAACAAAACCTCTCCCTTTTAGTGAAACCAGATGACCTCCATGATGCCATCTTGAAAATTAAGTTTAGTAGTAGACATAATCGAAGTAATCTTATGTACTCTTCCTGAAATAAAGGAATAAAATAAAATAAATCCTTTCCTGATAAAAGGAAAGAATTAGATAATATATAACAGCCAATTTGGTTTAGTGGTTAAGGTACAAGCTGGGAGACCCTGAGTTCTAGTCCCACCTTAGGCATGAAGCCAGCTGGGTGACTTGGGCCAATTATTCTCTCTCAGTCCTAGGAAGAAGGCAATGACAAACCATTTCCAAAAATCTTGCCTAGAAACCTGCAGGGGCTAATCCAGGCAGTCACTAGGAGTCAACACTGATTTGAAGATGCACATGCGTACATTGATGAATTTCTGGCAACCTATCCCAGTGGTTTCATGTAAGTGCAATCAACAGTGGAGACAAAATAAAAAACCACAAACCCCCATGCTGAAATCTGTTATTTTGAATTTAGATTTAAAATTTAAAAATCAGCCTGAAAAGTTTTCCTCTTCCTGACCTTTTGTTCAACCATCAATCAATTACTTGTTCTTCCAGGCCTTAATGATAATTTCTGTTTTAAAAAGGAATTCTTCATCCCACAGAGGTCACTAATTACTCTCTAGTGAATTTCACTAGGACATATATTTATTTGAAATGATTAGAACCCTTAACCATATTTATGCAGATGGATCCAAAATGTACTAATGCAGCCTTTCCCCATCTCCCATCTTCCTGGGGTATTAGGACTGCCAGCTGGAAAATCTAGAAATTGCAATCCTAATACATCAGGAAAGATGTAGCTTGGGGGAGGTTGCCCTAATGTATTTATTTTGATAGCATGACAGAAGACATAATAAATTATATTACAAAAGAGATTGGATTGTTTTTCACATGCATACCACACATTTTCCCCTCCATAGCTAAGTGTTATCTTTAGAGAAAACTGCCATCTGTGCACTGAAATATATCTTAATTCCTTTCTTTCAACCTCAGTTCTCTAAAGCTATCCAGCTCTTATTCAAAGCAGAAACGGCAAGACTGAACACTGACATTTTGGAAATCAGTGAATTAAAATGGACTAGAATGTGTCAGTTCACATCAGAAGAGCAGTGGATCTTCTACTGTGAACAAGAAAACGTATAAGAAGGGAGTAGTAATCATTATTAACAAAAGGGTGTGAAAATCAGTGTTCAAATATAGCCCCCAAATGACAGAATTATTTCA